ACGCGTGTCCCCGTCCCCTGCCGCGGAGTAAACAGGGTCACAGCTGCTTCCTGCCCCCCCGGGAGCGCCACGGAGCTGTTTTGTTGCTGCCTTGCAGGGAATCGCCGTGGGAAACGGCCTCTCCTCCTACGAGATCAACGACAACTCCCTCGTTTACTTCGCCTATTACCACGGCCTGCTGGGAACGCAGTACGAGGCGCGAGCCGGGCGGGGGACGCGTTGCTGCTGCGTGGCAGGATGGCGCAGGACGGGACACGGCCGCGGGGCCGAGCAGAGCAGCCGTTTGGGGAACCTCCCAGCCCGGTTTGGGCCACCCCCAGCTCTGGGGTGGCTCCTGTCCCAGGAATCTCGATGGATGCATTTCCCTTGGCGCTCTGCCCGGGCCTGGGAGCCCATGGGGTGGCCGGGCTGAGGCCTCTGGCTTCGCGGGGCTGCTGCCACCTGGGTGCTGCGCTCACGTCCTACTGCTCTGTCCCAGGCTCTGGAAGGACTTGCAGGCCTTCTGCTGCTCCCAAGGGAAGTGCAACTTCCACGACAGCTCCAACCTGAACTGTACGCTCAAGGTGAGGAGAGTGGAGGGCTCCTGCAGCACCCAGCTCTCCTGCCTCTGGATGGGTGACCGAGATCCTCAGGTATCTGCCAAGTCCCAAACGCTTGCGGCTTGTTGCAGATGGAGGAAATGATCCACATCGTGGAGGAGTCTGGTCTCAACATCTACAATCTCTATGCCCCGTGTGCTGGTGGTGTCCCTGGAGACGTACGGTGAGAGCAGCACCACGAGGGCTGCGTCTGTACTGCGTTGCTGCCTGGTTTGCAGCGTGGGGTCCCAGCGGGCAGAGGGACCCAATGAGTGGACAGGAGATTCCTCTGGTGCGGTGGCCCACGTACTCCTTAGCGAGAGCCCTGGGCTCTTTCCAAGGGCCCTTGTCCCTCCGGAGCTTTCGGCCTGTCTCACGTGCTTGTTCGCACTGCAGGTATGAGGGCGACTATCTCATCACTCATGACCTTGGCAACTCCTTCATCCGGATGCCAATGAGGTTCTCCTGGCGGCAGGTGAGCCCGGGCACCGGCATTTCCTGGCTGTGTGTCCCATGGTGCCACCAGTGGGCAGGAGCGGGGCAGGAGCAGCAGCTCCCGCGCGCAGGGCACAGGCGCTGCTGCTGCAGGGAAGCTCCTGGCTCTCCCAGAACCTGTTCCGGATGCCCGTTGCCCGCAAGAAGGTCCGCATGGACCCCCCCTGCACCAACTCCACGGCCCCCAGCATGTATCTGAACTCGCCGGCGGTGCGGAAGGCCCTGCACATCCCCGCCG